GGTAATAAGGTATCATTGATAACCAGGTGTAGCAGTTATCTCCCCTGTCTTTCTAGGCACCAGTATATATTGTACTTACACCTACTAACAGGTAATAAGGTATCATTGATAACCCAGTGTAGCAGTTATCTCCCTGCCTCTAGGGCTCCAGTATATATTGTACTTACACCTACTAACAGGTAATAAGGTAACATTGATAACCAGGTGTAGCAGTCATCTCCCTTGTATCTAGGGCTCCAGTATATATTGTACTTACACCTACTTACAGGTAATAAGGTATCATTGATAACCAGGTTTAGCAGTCATCTCCACTGTATCTAGGGCTCCAGTATATATTGTACTTACAACTACTAACAGGTAATAAGGTATCATTGATAACCCAGTGTAGCAGTTATCTCCCTGCCTCTAGGTCTCCAGTATATATTGTACTTACACCTACTAACAGATCATAAGGTAACATTGATAACCAGGTGTAGCAGTCATCGCCCTTGTATCTAGGGCTCCAGTATATATTGTACTTACAACTACTAACAGGTAATAAGGTATCATTGATAACCAGGTGTAGCAGTCATCTCCCTTGTATCTAGGGCTCCAGTATATATTGTACTTACACCTACTAACAGGTAATAAGGTATCATTGATAACCAGGTGTAGCAGTTATCTCCCTGCCTCTAGGGCTCCAGTATATATTGTACTCACATCTACTAACAGGTAATAAGGTAACATTAATAACCCAGTGTAGCGGGTATCTCCACTGTATCTAGGGCTCTAGTATATTATTGTACTAGGTAATAAGGTAACATTGATAACATGGTGTAGCAGTTATCTCCCCTACCTCTCTAGGCACCAGAATATATTGTACTCACATCTACTGACAGGTAATTTAGTATTACAGGTAATTCAGTGCTGCAGTTACCTCCCCCTAACTCTACATCTCACATCTACTGAGAGGTAATTTAGTATTACAGGTAATTCAGTTCTGCAGTTACCTCCCCCTAACTCTACATCTCACATCTACTGACAGGTAATTTAGTATAACAGGTAATTCAGTGCTGCAGTTACCTCCCCCTACCTCTACATCTTGCATCTGCTGAGATGTAATTTAGTATTAAAGGTAATCCAGTGCTGCAGTTACCTCCCTCTAACATTACATCTCACATCTACTGAGGTGGAATTTAGTATTAAAGGTAATCCAGTGCCTCAGTTACCTCCCCCTAACTCTACATCTCACATCTACTGAGAGGTAATTTAGTATTACAGGTAATTCAGTGCTGCAGTTACCTCCCCCTACCTCTACATCTCACATCTACTGAAAGGTAATTTAGTATTAAAGGTAATCCAGTGCTGCAGTTACCTCCCCCTACCTCTACATCTCACATCTACTGAGAGGTAATTTAGTTTTAAAGGTAATCCAGTGCTACAGTTACCTCCCTCTAACTCTACATCTCACATCTACTGAGAGGTAATTTAGTATTAAAGGTAATCCAGTGCTGCAGTTACCTCCCCCTAACTCTACATCTCGCATCTACTGAGAGGTAATTTAGTATTAAAGGAAATCCAGTGCCTCAGTTACCTCCCTCTAACTCTACATCTCACATCTCCTGACAGGTAATTTAGTATTAAAGTTAATCCAGTGCTGCAGTTACCTCCCCCTACCTCTACATCTCCCATCTACTGAGAGGTAATTTAGTATTAAAGGAAATCCAGTACTGCAGTTACCTCCCCCTAACTCTACTTCTCACGTCTACTGACAGGTAATTTAGTATTAAAGGGAATCCAGTGCTGCAGTTACTTCCCCTACCTCTACATCTCACATCTTCTGACAGGTAATATCCAGTGCTGCAGTTACCTCCCCCTAACTCTACTTCTCACATCTACTGAGAGGTAATTTAGTATTAAAGGTAATCCAGTACTGCAGTTACCTCCCCCTAACTCTACTTCTCACGTCTACTGACAGGTAATTTAGTATTAAAGGTAATCCAGTGCTGCAGTTACTTCCCCTACCTCTACATCTCACATCTTCTGACAGGTAATTGACGAACAGTAACATACAAGAGACACAGTTTATCTCCCCTACATATCTGGCACCAATATCACATATGTGTCCAGACAGGTAACACAGCATATATTATCCTTAATCTATTGAAGTATTGCAGTAACAAGACTAATATACAAGATCACCATTTACTTCCCCTGGCACCAACGTCACATGTTTATGTGTACAGACAGGTAAAGAAATAATATAGGCATGATCTGTTTAACATTACATCCAAATTATCTCCCTTTCTTCCATTACACAAGCATGATCTTTATAGCTATTGACAAGTATTCCGAGAAAACACTAATATATACCAGAGCCCCAGTTATCTCACCTACATTTCATACAGTAGTATCACATGTTCTGACATCTTCAGACAGATAAGGTAGGTAACCCAGCATCCTGATTGTCTCCCCTTCCTCTCCAACACAAAATATGTGTAGATGTCACATGTACAGACAGGTAATTGAGGACCATAAGTAACCCAGTCACTTAGTTATCTCCCCTGTTGTATACAACACCAACCTCTAGAGTTCACACATCAAATTGAATTGGATCAATTGATCTGCCTTGAAAGACGAATATTCCTTTGTAGTTTAATGTCATTCCGTTTGAATGGGCCACAGTGACCTAGCTATTGGCTGCCATGATAAGGTTGTGTATCTACCAGTTTAAGTCTGTGGGTGTCTCAAGTTCACAGACTGCAAATTGTGGGTTATTTTTCAATGTAATGCATTCCATTACATTTATCAAACTTTAAAAGAAAATTTCCAAAATATATTTCTGAAGAAAAAAAAGAAAAAAATGGAATATATGTAATTCAAAAATAAATTTGCTATGTTGAATGAATCTTAACTCAGATGTGTTGCTTTGAATAAATGATACCTGTATTGACACAAGAGTGTAGCGAAATTATGACAAAATATTTGAAATTTCAACATTTACATTTATATTACTGCTATGATGAGAGGGATCCCCTATGTTGATATCATATGCTTTATGTAACATAAGTTATTGATGTATGATCTGCAGTGCCACTCAATCAATCAATTAAAGTCAGTCTGGATCTTACGAAACTTAAGGATCCCTGTACCACTGCCAAAAACTGTAATTATGCATCAGGAACTTTTTTTTCTGGCCTCACTATTGGTTTGATATATCATTTCTGAAATATGAAAACCAAATGTTGCAGGACTTTTATGAAAAAGTGATAATTATGGAATATACAATATAAAAATGATACGATGGAGTAAGTCCTGAGGATTTGAACCCCCGACCTCAGATAATAGTACTGCGTTTTCAGAGCTGTCAGGTTAATGAAATTCTCCTTTAAACTTTAGGGAGGTTTTTGTATGAACAAAACAAACTACAGCAGAGTTCTCTGGTGTTTTTGTCTGCAGTGGAGCAGGGATCCTTAACTCTGACTTTTTAATCTTGAAATAACAATATGAGGATGATATATACATGTCATTTATTGTAGTACGAGTATTGTACCAGACTTAGCTATTTTAGATTTGAGAAAACTACTTGACTAGACAGGAAACACAAAAAATAGTTAGTGGCAATTTCTTAGTTAATATGTAAGAAACAAAGGTACTGTCCTTTTCTTCAAGTTGATTCATGAATAGTTGGGGAATGAATTGTAGAAACAGGAAATTAAATCTCAGACATGATACAGTTTTATAAGAGATGAATTTGTTCATCTCTCATAATAAATTAGTGGGTCTTTGTACTGTGTACGTACCTGCAATTTCAGAATGCGACAGTGGCTTGCTTCTGGATACTTTCCAAGATGGCTCAAAGTGTTATTACATATTGCTATTATTAGACTTTTATCAGAAATTAGCTGTGGTATATTTATAGATCTATGTTAGTGTGAGTGCATGGTGGGAAATGAATTGATCTCTTTACAAGATTGCACAATATACAAGAATATTGACCTACAATCGTAAACTCATACCTGAGTCACGTCTGCCTTCGGTCAAACACACACACACATTGAATGATCTGACAAAATTAAAAAGACGACTGAAAAGAATTACAAAAAATACCCTCAGTATTCTCGATATTCCTTTGCATTGGAGGTAAAGACTGCATGGGGTCATACATGCCTTTCTGTATGATATCAAATTTACTTATCTAGGAATTTTGAGAAATTTAAATTGATTTATGTCAATAAATTATGATTTTAAGTGGATCTTACAGTATAGTGAAATATTTGGAGTTGTTAAGTGGGAATGAAGAATTTTCTGAAGAATGGTACCTCATACCTTAACGAACCTAACTTCCTGGTTGAAATACTTGGTAAATGAGACTGACATCCCTTTGATTGGGAAACATATACATAGCCTTTGTGTATTTTTTCTCTTTAGAAATTAAATATTTGGGGTTTTAAATGGATATTTCATTGATAAAAATATGTGGACATGTTTAAATCTGAAATAATGATATCTATAAAATTGTTGGTCTTGTGTGTTAACTTAAAAGCCTTCCTCATAAGTCATTACCTATTACAAATCAACTCTTCGTTGAGAGGTTTGTATGTTTTGAAATTCAAAATTTCATGTGTTTTATCAAACTCTTCTTTAACTCAGCGGAGGTCTAACAGTTTACTTAGACTTGTTTTACAAAATGTTTCACACAATTTTTCTGTCCATTCATAAATATTTCTATTTTTAGCTTAATTCAATTGGCAAATATTTATTGTGTAAACATTAAAACACATTAAAAGTACAATAACAAAATAACAAAGGCAATAAAAACAGTAGGCAGACAGAATTCTTTTAATTTAAGTAAACAAACTTGTTGAGGATATTCGGTGCCTGTTTTTGAAATCCAGTTCCTGTAAGAAAGCTATTTTGGTTTGTCTGTGCTGTGTCGGAAAGGTGAATGGGTAATTTCATGTGACTTGGTCTACTGAAGGTTTAACACTCACGATTTTTTTAATGATTATATTTTTCAGAGCCCCAGTCAGGTTTCCGAATCGCATTCAATATGTTTGACACGGATGGAAACCAGATAGTCGATAAAAAAGAGTTCCTGGTGGTAAGTCGAAAAGATATCGGCAGCAGCCTCTTTCTTGTAGATGCTTTAAGGAGGTTCAAGTAGTTTAGTCATGTCTAGGACTCTAGTCATAAATTTAAAAAATGTATCAGAAAATAGTTTAGAATGTTCTCTTTATATTTTTGGTTGTATGTTATTCATTAACTGATTCATGTGTTGTTTCCTTCCAGATATGTATGATTTGCTAACATGTGCAAATATCAGACATGTCGACTCTGGGCAGTCTAGACTCTTGTCATGCTGGTATATGATTTAAAATCTCTGAAAAACATTTCAATTTTATTATGAATTTTGTTGACCTTCATATTCTCGGCTGAAGTAGAGCATTCCTTCCTTGGTGATCCGTAGTGCTGTCTTTTTTCAGCAGTTTTACCAAATTTAGATATCATTTCTGGACTCATTTTTCACCAGCTTCATCAGTATTTTTGGAGGATATCATTATTGTCATCATTTTTCTTCATCATTGTTCGTCTCATTGTCATCGCTGCTGTCATTCGTCTGCATTGTTGTTTTCGTTTTCATCACTTTTGTAGTATTCTGCTCACTGTTGGGTTTTTCTGCAATATTGTCTGTTATTTATAATTATTGTCATCAATTTTTTCACAAAACTTTTATATCATCATTTTCATTGTCATCATCTTATCATCAAAATTCTGGAAACTTTTCTATCCAATTCAGTATTTCCTTCTGATCTTTACTGTGATAAAAAGAGCAAAATTGCAAGTAAAATTATTTTAAAATGAAATTATCTCAATTGAAGAAAAGTCTGCAGAAATCATAAATACTCTTTAATTGTGTAACATTTTACAAATATGCATACCTGCTGAGGTAGAAAATAGAAATTTGTTTCTATTCCTAGAAAAAAGGCAAGTATAGGGGTCTAATGAAGATGTAATTATCCTGACGCGTTTTTGTTGCTATTTTCGTATCGAGAGTTCCATGTGCAAAATATAATTTTAGCAGAATGCACTTCATTGAGATTTGTCAGATTGTTTTTCTTATTAAAGTTTTCCTTTTTTTTCTTTTTGCTTTTCTCATATTTCTGTAATAAAGATGATTATAATTGATGGTATAATTACAAGTAATGGGGAAGAATATTATCATCATATTACAAGGATAATATTGTAACTTTACCGGAATATTGTTGTTTAATCACCTAATTATTAGAAAGAAATGTACAGAAACTTCATGTGGTGTCAGAAACCCTTCATCTTCGTCTTTTATATTAAGGATCCCTACACTCTGGTTTTTGTCTCGCCGCCACGAAGTAGCGGTAGTTAAGACTAAGATGTAACTGTTCCGGCGGCGGCGGCGTTAACATTAAGTTTTTGTGTTTGAGTTAGTTTCACAGAGAGTATAAGTGCTAGACCAACCAAACTTGGACCATAGATGCATCTTAGGTAGTACATCTCAACCCATGCATCAAATGTTAGATGCGACCTACCTTTCATGGTCCATTGACTTTGTCAGCATCTCCATCAACATTAAGTGTTTGTCTCGCCACCACGAAGTAGCGGTAGTCAGACTTAGATGTAACTGTTCCGGCGGCGTCAACATTAAGTTTTTGTGTTTGGGTTAGTTTCACAGAGAGTATAAGTGCTAGACCAACCAAACTTGCACCATATAATTATGCATCTTAGGTAGTACATCCTGACCCATGCATCAAATGCTAGATGCGACCTACCTTTCATGGTCCATTGACTTTGTCAGCATCTCCATCAACATTAAAGTTTTTGTGTTTAAGTTAGTTTCTCTGAAACTATAAGTGGATACACAAATCAAACTTGGACCATAGATGCATCTTACCCCTGCGAGAGGGTATTCATGAATACAGACAGTTTGAAATTCATGAATCCTTATTCATGAATATTCATCAACCTGCTTTCATGCATTCTTCATGAACTTTTATGAATAATTAATAAATTCATAAAAATGCATGAATCTGCATGAAGTTTGTGATTATGAATTATTCATGGACTTTCATGCACAGCAAAAATTCATTAAAATTCATCAAATTTCTTAAAGATTGACTGAGCAGAAATCATGAACTTTGATGAATATTTCAAATACACAAAATTCACTATTATTCATGAAATTATGAATGATGAGAAAACTCAGTATCCTCAGAAACCATTTTTTTTCTTGTGGTTATTTCAACTCCATGTCCATTTTGCATGAATGTAGATAATAATGTAAATATATATAATATATAAATATAATTGCGAATTTTGCAGGAAGTATACATAAATTATATTATGGAGTTCCATCTGTATTGATTTTATTGACTTTGGGAAGCACTGTAATTACTGGGAGCAGCGGTGGCTCAGTCAGTTGTTAAGGTCACAGACTACAAATCACATGCTTCTCACCTCCTTATGTATATATATATATATATACATATTGAAAATAACACTGGAATTTCAGTGAGATTCCACTGGAATGAAATATTTCAGTGGAATACCACTGGAATTCCAGAGAAGAAAACAAAAATCCTGTGGAATTCCAGTGAAGCAAAAAAATACAAGTAGAATTCCACTGGAAAAAAATCACTGGAATTATATTTCTACTGGAATATTAATTCCAATGGAACTATAACTCCTCTGACAATCCATGCAGAGGTGATGAGATCTGAAATACATTTTGCATGAAGTGGTATTAACTAGAAAAAATGGAACAATACATCAGTTTAACAATTTTTTAATAGATATATTACCCTTTACAAAGACAATTGTAGGCTAGCTATTAACGTACATGAGTTTATACAAAATATGACTATGTTAAGTTAGTTATGTTCAAGTGTTTAACACTTATGAATGTGAGATTTGGTGTTATTTGGACTAAGATGAACTTCTTTCCTAGTCTACTGCAATGAACTAATACAGTGTCTCCAGTCAACTAGTTCAAAAACATGAATGCAGAGTGATTTTTCAGCATGCTCCTTTAACACGGGCATGGTAATGGCATTTTTCAAATTCTGACTCAATATGTCCCAGACTTGCAAGGACATTCAGAGATATTGGCACAGCTGGTAAAAAGTCATCCTGGCAGTTCATTATTTTCATTATTGTTTTGTATATTGTCTTTGTCATTGTGTATTATTTTCTGCACCTGAAGATTTTGTGTAAACGCTGCTTTGCTCATTGATGGATGGGACACAAACCTATGAAACTGATAGCACAGCCATTCAAGTTTAGTCATAGTATCAGAATTAGGAATTTTGTTGACTGCTAATTCTGAGTTGAATACAGTGAAGTCATAAGAACTACACCAGTCACAATTCATTTCCTTTTGGTTCTCATCTTCGGAATCACTGTTGGCCTCTGAATCATCCTGTTCAGGATCTGTCATCTCCTGATCAGATTCTGAGTATATTGAACCCTGGTCTTCATGCCAATTGGCCATATCCTCTAGATCTTGGTTTAATTTATCATCAGAGCTTGTCTCTGAATCTGATCTGAAATATATAATTTGTATGATATACTGAACACGCCAATTACCAATTAATTATCATCTACCATATTTATCCTTCAATAAGCCCAGGGAGCAAGTGTAAAATATTGGGTGGTCTAATTGCAGACATATATATATTACACGCTACATGTATATATAGGGAAATGAATTAAAAAATAATGAAATTCATAATGATATTGGGGGGAGGGTGTTATTACCTGCAGGCATGGGCTTATTGCGGATGGAACTATTGTTTATTGAAGACCAAATTCAGAATTGTTTCCAGCTTGGTTTACAATGTTTAACATCCTTAGTAAATAGTCGGGTAGTTCAAGGATGTCAAGCCATTTCTAAATTTGAGACTAGTGTATTTTGAAGTTTGTTTAATGACATCAGTTAGTCACCGACAAAGCGGGACACCTGAACAGGAAAGATCATGAACCTTCACACTTTTATAAACTGAAAGCGAGATGAGATCTTTGAGATCAGGGAGTTCTATATGAGGTAATTGACAAGATAGCTAATTATCTCAGGGCCGCAATTAATATTTACTAAAGAAATTGTTGTCCAATGTTTACCAGTAAATACTGGCATGGCTGGTAAGTTGACAGTATATTTACTGGTAATTAACATTGGACATAAACATTTTCAGTCAACATTGCTCAGAATAATTCCAACTGCCAGTTGCAGTAAAAATAATAATCTAAACATTTTATTTAGATCATAGATCATGAACAGGGATTTTTTTTTAATATTTTCGTTATGTAAAGTACAAGTATTAGTTCACAATTGGTACAATATTATACAACATAATCCTCAAAAACGAAGAGATACTTGACTTCGATTATACCCAGGATTTTACCGTCGCCATGCGGTGAAAATAATCACAAGCATTTAAAATTCTGACAGTAAATTGAGATATTTATCATTTCAAGATAACAGTATTACTATCGATAGTAATTGACTTAATCGTCCATATTCCTTTATAAGATTTAACGTTAGGTCTGTCAATTTACTGTCAGAATTTCGAACGCCTGTGAAATATTCGGTGACTTAGTGGCACAAAACAGCGACACGCCTACACCTCTGGACTTTTTACAAAAACTTTTAATTGAAATAACTACGGAAACAACATGGCATTGCTCCTTAAGTTAATTTAATCAACGTATGATGGCCTTAGTCTTACCTAGTGTGCGAAAATCCAGGGGAAACTGGAGTTGTTGACATGCTGTCGGGCGAATGTTCAAACTCCAATTCCTATCCATTGTTTGCATCGCCGTCATTGAGATGAAGCCCGTATCTTTTTATATGTGTTTTAATCTTCCTTTCATCGATTGGTGTGCCTGTTTATCGACAGACAAAGTTACATGGTCTTTTTTCGCACCGAAGTCATTCCATGCCATATTTTTATAAATTGACTTCCGGTAGGATCGGAGCGAATAGAGGAATTATTCTGATTGGACGAAATTAATCCCGCGCCAAATACGCTTCAGAAGAAAGTGGAGATGGAGAAATTTTCGAAAGACGGCAGG